TGTTCGATGGCACAGAGGGGGTTGAAGCATAACTGTTTCACAAGGGATGTATCGGGAGGGGATGGGGGGTCTTCAGGGGGTTTAGGGGGGCCTATTTCGTGGTTACAGGGGGCCGTTCGACGGCTCAGATGGGGGGAAAATACAAAACAAAAAGGATTCAGTTGAGAGCAGCACAAAATCACAACTCCACAGCATTTTGCAACATCAAACCAGGCTCCTTACAGAGGATTCAGTCGCCAGCAGCAGTGCAGCACAGAAAAAAAAAACAAAAAAAACTCCATTATAGTCTCACTGTCCCGACATCCATAAAGTCATCGAAAACACAGTCCACCCCGGACATGGATGCGAGAGACGAGGAGGAAGAAGCAGATGATGAAGAAGTGGAAGAAGAAGCAGTAGAAGAAGAAGAAGAAGAAGAAGAAGAAGAAGAAGAAGAWGAAGAAGAAGAAGAAGAAGAAGAAGAAGAAGAAGAACAGGATGGAAGAAGAAGAAGAAGAAGAAGAAGAAGAAGAAGAAGAAGAACAGGATGGAAGAAGAAGAACAGGATGGAAGAAGAAGAAGAAGAAGAAGTAGAAGAAGAAGCTCTTCTCTCTCAGCCAGCGGCTGCCAATGTCTGTCACGCATACACTGACCAGTGGAGGCAGAAAGTGGCAGCCTTTCTTGAACGTCGCAGAGAACAACCTCGGAGCTGCAGCCTTGTCTCCCCACCATGGCCAAGTCTCCCTGCTACGACCAAGCTGCCCACACTCTTCTCACCCTGCCTGAGCAATGCAGCTGCCCACACTCACGGCTGCCCACAAATGCCACGGCGGTAGAATGGGACGAGTGTGGGCAAGCACACTCTTTGTACTGCCGCCGACCAGGGAAAAGGCAGTGTCGACGGTCGGCGGCCTCCCAGGCCGTGCCCCTATCGGCCGACCCCCCCAGTACCGGCCCAAAACACAAAAAACGGGCCTTTGGGGTGGGGGTGGCCGCCGCACAAAAATGCGCAAGGCCGACCCCGCCGATCGGTCGGCGCCGACGGTCAAAACAGTCGGCGGGTTGGCGGCCGACCGATCGAGGCCCGCCGACGGTCGGCATGTGCAACCCTGGTGGCCATGGCTATGGTGGACCTCATGTTGTGCCTGCAGTAGAAGTGGGATTCGGACATTGATTCTGGTTCAGCCATTCAACATTGTTATTGTTATTTCTTGTTTGAATAAGAGGGGAGAGTACGAGGAGGAGGAGATTGGTTGGCGAAGAAGAAGAGCCTTGTCTTTGGTCTATGCTGGAGTACATCCTCTTCTTCTCTTTCTTACTTCTTCTTCTTCTTCTATCCCTCTCTCTCCTCTCAAGTTCATTCATTTCTTTTTGCAATTGGCCGGCATTGTCCTTTCTGATGAATGTATACTTCGAAATTGGCCAGGATCGTAACATTGGTATCGAAGCGGATTATACTTGCTGGCGAGAGTTGACTTTGCTGCCATAACCCTAACCCTAGTGGTAAGGGCTAACCACTTAGGGTTAAGGCGGAAGTTAGGGTTAAGTGGGGCAGTGTGGTAAAGAGAAGCTGCCCCCACCTGGCAGGGACGCGTAGGGACGACACTAGACCAGGCCAGGTTGCTTGAGTGCATGTTTGTGGTGGTGAGACACAATGTTACATGCCCAGTTAGGCGATGTACATACAAACCGAGGATCCGCAATCTGATAAAAAGGACTGAATGGACAATGCAGTGCAAGTGGAATCTCAACAAGCAATGTGCATTCAGATACATACAAAATGGTGCTCTATAGCGCAGGGAAGACTTTAGATACAAGTCCTGACCTGACCGGGACTGACCCCTTTCATGTAGTACAGGATAGCGAAGCAGAATGCTAGAATACAAATGACTAGCCCAATCAATGTTTCAACGCAGACCAAACATACATCATGCTCATCACAAGGTGTGAAGGGGCCTGGCGCTATACACAGGAAAGAAGCGCCAGGTCCAGACATA